GGGGGGTTCAAAATGTATCCCACTGTCCACAGTTCAATGATCAAGGGGGTTCAAAATCGTATTCCATTGTCCACAGTTTCTTCTAAATTTTCAACTTTTTTTTTGAACCCCCTTAGCGGAAATTCTGCCTCCACCGCTATTTGCAGGATGGCATAGATAAAACTTATATATAAGAGTCTTTTTTTAATCCCAGGATAATATTTAAAATTATATTTATATTCCATGTTTGGTTATAAGTATAGTATTAAGAAGTACTCTATCATTGTAAATTTTATATCTAAATTTTAGTTATATTATCTATTAATCCTACGATTATAGTGTTCCGAACCAAACGACACCTAATAACTGACCTTCAATGTTAGGTCCCTCCACTTTATTTTACAAAGCTTAAGAACTTACCTGCAATTTTGAGATTAGTCAATATTCCTATACATTATTTTCAAAAAAAAAGAAAAAAAGAGTTCCATTGACACTCCAAGAAGCAAAAGAAAACAAAAAAAGGAAAACAATATTGTATAGTTGCTCTCAAAAGAAAAAGAAATAAAAAAGGCAGCCCGGTGCACTAAGCTCCCTTTATGCGTGGAATCCGGGGAAGGGCCGGACCATAAGGGTTTATTATACGCAACCTTACCCTGCATTTTTGCAAGGGGTTGTTTCCACGGCTCGAACCCGTGACCTTCTGGTCACAAGACAACAACTTTACCAGCTACGCCAAGGCTCCCCTTCTTAAGGAAATGCACCAACCGGGAAGAATAGATACATTTTGTATATATACATATTTTTCATATATTATATACAAAAGATATATAATTTTTATACATTTTTACTACTATCAAATATAAATAGTTTCGGGCGCCGGTTAAAAATGATCTTTGCCCAACATAAAACCACAGACGCATAAAGTATTAAACTAGGAATGTAACAAAGTTTGAAGGATCAGTTGCTTACAGGAGAGTAATTTAAGTTGGTATTTAAAGTGAAACCAGCAGCTCAGGATCGAAAAAGTTTTCTTGGTAGGAAGTATTTTCCTCTTAATTTTTTATGTGATGCGAATCTAGATTAGTCGGACCAATAAATTTTGAATACCAGATGATTAATGGAAAAAAAAAAAGAAAGAAGATGCTCCTTATAATGATTTTCTCTGTTAAATTAGGATTTACAGGATTTAACTTTTAAATTAGATTGGTCTTAAAAAGAGAACAAGAAACCTACTTCAACCACTCACAAGAAAAATGCTTCCCACCATTTTGCTTATATCTCAAATGTACCAAATTTTGGGTAAAAATTAAACTTTTGGAGAACTTGGTGGGTCAAATTTGTTGGTCAAACACATAGGCAATCCAAAAAGAATGTAGATTCAGCCCAATCCACCTTATATGGGTGGCCCTTCCATAAAGTAAGTAAAACAACCGCTTTAGGTCTCATATTTGTGGGGGCCCCATTTTTTGTTACACCTAATATATTATGTATAAGTTTAAAAAAGAGTTTAGTAAAGTGAAAAAGTTTGATTTCTTTCTAAGAAATATAAAGAAGAAGGATTTGCAAATGCTATAATTTCTACCAAGGAAATTGCACTTGAAATGGATATCGAACCCGAATTTCGTAAGAAACGTGTGATATATATGAAGTAACAATTTGATGCAAATGTTGATAATGAAATCTCAAAATCTTTCGAGGAGTCTTTTAGAGTTGATTACTTTTATACATAATAGACAAGGTTATTTTTTCACTTCAAAATAGATTTGAACAATTCGAAGCATATGAAAATATTTTTGATTTTCTATTTGGCAGTAAAAGTTAAGATCACTAGATGTTAGAAATTTGAAAAAAATATTGCCTTAATCATGAATGTTCCTTATAGCATAATAATCAATTCGATATTGATGGTTTAGATTTATGTTCTGAATTAAAAGTATTAAGGAAAATAGTACAGTTAGAAGTAACAGTTTAATTGATACACCTAATCAAATAAAAAGATTTAATTCTTTTACAAATGCCTAAATTGCTTATGAAATAATGTTCATAACTCAAGTTATCGTTGCTTCAGCGGAAAGAATGTTTTCAAAATTAAAATTGATAAAATCTTACCTAAGAACAATAATGCCACAAGAAAGGTTAAGTGGATTAGCTATATTGTCAATTAAGAAATACTTATTAGGAGTTATTGACTATATGAAAATTAAATAACTTTGTATCTAAAAAAAAGCTAAAAAAACAGACTTCAAATAAATAATAAAAAAAAAATTAAAAAGTTAAGGCCTCTCATAAAATTTGGCTTTAGGCCACAAAATTTGTCGGAGCGCCCCTGCACATATATTATATAAGAGTATGAATTACATTATATATAGGTCGATTATTTTTAATTTAAGCCGTTGGATGAACGGTTATTTGGGTTATATCTTCGTATCCTCCAAATGGACTTTAAACGAGAGGAAAATGGTGCAAATCAAACAGGTTATCTGATTTTGCTCGTTATCTCATAAATAAGTAAATAAATGCCAATAAATTTTAAATAATTTGTGTTGTACGCCTAACTTGAGATTATGGTGTCTCAAAGTAAAGATATGACAAAGGAAAGAACGCTGAGGGATTGTCTGCTTCAGGTCAAGCCAAATCCTATATGAAATGGAGTAGATAATATTAACAGTTTCACAAAAAATTTATACTGATTTTAGCTAATATCAATAATAAAATATAAAATTATTAATCTAATCCGATAATCAAACGGCCAGAGGGTTTTGGTCCTGGCTCGAGAGGAGAGAGGACAAATTGTTATTGTGGTCCGAGGACAAATTGTTACTGGTCATAGGCCGGGGCAAAGTTAGGTGGACGGAAGGGGGTTCAACCAAATCTTCTTCGTAAAAAATTATACTATATATATAAAGCTATTTTTCCCCACTTTTCAGGCTAAATTATTGGGGCGGACTTTTTATAAGGGTACAGGCTTGCGAAATGATCAAAAATCAAAGTTTATCCGATCCCTAAAACAATTCACTTTTTATGATTACATCGATATGCATATATGTTAGATATTAAATTTCCTTAACTTCTTCACGTATTTACTTATTTTAGTTTTTGAATCCTCTCGGTAAAAATCCTACTTTTGCCGCTGGTCCTAGGCATCCCTTTTCAATCAATTACATTCAGTGGTGGATTTAGAGGGCAACGTGCGGGTTCTCCAGAACCCAATAGCTTTTGCACAATCCTTATATATGTATTAACAAATTTATTAAATATCTATAAATATTTAATTTGATTATGAATTCAGTTACGTTATTAACTTGAAATCGTTACAGAAACTCATAAACTTCAAAATCTGGATCCGCTTTTGATTACATTACTGCATGCATTGGTTGTTGTGAGCTCCATTTCATACTCATCTTATTGTTCTTATTGCATCTGTGACCTGTAATGTTAATTTAGAATGACTCTTTAAGTTTAGAGGGGTTGCTTTGATGGTAAACAACCTCTTGTGAGTTCGAGTCTCCCCAAGAGCAAGGTGGGAAGTTCTTGGAGGAAAGGATGCCGGGGGTCTATTTGGAAACAACCGCTCTATCTTAGGGTAGGGGTAAGGTCTGCGTACACACTACCCTCCTCAAACCCCACAAAGTGGGATTATACTGGGTTGTTGTTGTTGTTGTGGTATTTAGAAAATCTTTTTGTTTTTCTTTTCCGAGAATATATGTAACAATATTAATGTGCTATTTCTAGATTTGATTTCTGATAAAATGATATATACATAAGTTAGAAAAGTATTCTTAAGCCGTTTGCTTCCCATGTTTTTAATTCACTTGACACTTGAATGATGCTTACAAATCACTTTCACATAAACAATCTCATCATACATAATTCTACGCTCTAGAAATATGTTGCTTAATCATCGAATCAAGAAAAATAAATTAAAAATGTCACGAATATACGTCCGATAATTACCTTGAAAACTTTCGCTTGCTTGGAGGCATCTGAAGGCTTACACATTACAATCGACTAGGCCAAGCGTAACTATTACAACCAAGAGGCGCATGGACGTAACGTCTTGGAAGTGAACGTGTAAAGCATATCACTTTTCGCATATCAATTATATGCTAGTCACTCCTTCCATGCATTCAGAGAAGGCAAGTAAGTTCAAAGCCTAATTATCGCAATTATCGTTTTTTGCATCTCACTTCTCCATAAGATACATCCTTGTTGTATTACGCAAAAGAACATATATAGGATGATCATGCATGTAAATTTCCACAACATAGATACTAGTACGCTGCTGCACCAATACCCTCTACTCAGGGCGGACCTAGAGCATGGAATATGGGTTTCGAAAACCCAGTAATTCTTGCGTAAATTCTGTATTTATATTAAAAAATTTACTAAATATTTGTAAATATCTAACTGTGAACCCAATTATTATTGCATATTAATTTAAAATTATAGTAAGAACCCATAAGACTCAAATCTTGGATCCGCCTCTGCCTTAAAATTATTATATATGCTTAATAACTTCAATTGTTTTTCGAAGAAAATTTTCATACTATAAATGCTGCTATATCTTAGCCTATTAATGTCAGGTCCAATCAAATAATCGAGAAGGAAAGAAATTAAAATCTAGACGGAAGAACCAAACCTCTAGTTAGAGACAACTCTTTTTCATTATTTATACTATCACATTATCACCTAAATTGCAAGAAATATCACAGGTGATGACACGTACCCTAAAATTTGATGAGTCATGACCTCACTCTCTTGACTGCTTCTGCATGCAAAACTATGACATAGAGAAATATCTAAATGGCAGAATTATCAATAACTACTCAGTCGGCACTCGGCACAAAACAATCATTTCTTTCCCAATTTCGAGAATTCCTATCCTCTTTTAGTGTTTCTTACTCTAGTTCTCTCATTATTAAGAAAGTCAAATAGTCACTTTTGTAAAATCTAATAAAATGGCAGCTCCGTGCACAAAATATTTGACATTTACGTAAGATTTAGAGAAAGAACACACCCCTATAGAGTATATTATAGACAACCTATTTTAAGGCCGACGTTAATAGCTGCTTCAATGGTTCGGACTCATAAGTTATAAATTACACGAAAATAGCTTCATCATTATTGCAAGGCCCCGTATTATAAAAACTGGTAAGAAAGTAAATATTGAGTTGTAAGATAAACAAAAAGGTATCATCATCACTGAGAAATACATCAGAAAGTTAAATATTTGATGAAGTTTTGAATTAGTGTTAACTATACAATCTATGCTTACAATGACAAAAATGAAGCTGAACGTCATTTTTAGTGCACCAAATGTGTAACTTTCCATCCTAATTAATAACCGTACTATACTTGCAAGTTTTTTTTATCATCAATAATGGAGTAATGACAAGGAAGTCACCGATAAAGTTGATGTCATGTTACTAGAAAGTTATGAATTCGAGCCGTGAAAAGAGCCTTTTATAAGACTGCATGCAAGATTCTTATGATTCGGTCCTTTCTCGGATCCCATATATAACGAAAGTTTAATGCATCATATTTTTTTTTAATGGAGTTATGAATAAACCGAGCTATTTATTAATTTAACCATTTTATATTCACAAACTTACCCTTATCTACTCAGCCATTTTATATGCAAGCTGTACGTCGATCACTCTTTGTTCCTTTTTACCTACACATGGCATCCATTGAACCTCCTTTTCAGGACACAATTTTGTCTCTTCCATTTTCATTCCTCTATAAAAAGGCAATGCAATTCCATTTTTCATTCTCATTCCACTAATAACACTTAAACAGTTTCCAAATATATACTCTGAAAATGACTTCTTTGTCTTCCTTTAATATTAAACTTAGTTTGCTTGTAGTAATATTTATAAGTTGTTTGGTTGTTGAATATTCTGCTAGTGATCTTAATCAAGATTTTGGTATTACGTGGGGAAATGATAGGGGAAAAATACTAAATAATGGGGAGCTTCTTACTCTTACACTTGATAATACTTCTGGCTCTGGTTTTGAATCAAAGAAAGAATACTTGTTTGGTAAAATTGATATGCAAATCAAATTGGTCCCTGGGAATTCTGCTGGCACTGTCACTGCTTACTATGTAATTTTTTTTTTTTTTTTTTTTTTTTTTTTGTNAAATGGACCTTTTTTTTTTTTTTTTTTTTTTTTTTTTTTGCATTAGATTATTATTAAAATGAAGTCTTGGCGTAACCATGTGATAGGAGGTTAGGGTTTAACCCATGAAAATAGCCTCCTGCATTTTCTAAGGTTGCGTACAATAGATCCTTGTGGTGATCTGGTCTTTTTTTCAGATCCCGCGCATAGCAGAAGTTTAGTAAAGTTGTCGTCACATGATCAAGAGGTTACTGGTTCGATCCGTGAAAACAGCCTTCTGCAGAAATGCAGGGAAAGACTGCGTACAATAAACCCTTATGGTCCGATCTTTTTTCAGACCTCGCACTGCGAAAGCTTAGTGCACCAGACTCCCTTTTTTAACATTATTATTATAAATTATTTTTTCCCAAAAAAAAGGTTTTGATATTTTATTTGTTATTTTTTTGATATGTTTTTTTTTTTTTTTTGTGAATTTAGTTGTCATCACAAGGATCAAACCATGATGAGATAGACTTTGAGTTTCTTGGGAATTTGAGTGGAGAGCCATACACAGTGCATACAAATGTGTATACACAAGGCAAAGGTGAAAGAGAGCAGCAATTTCATTTGTGGTTTGATCCTACTGCAGATTTCCACACTTACTCTGTCCTTTGGAATCCACAAACGATTGTGTAAGTAGTCTAACTATTTTTTTTTTAAAGAAGTTACGTGTTTCTTTTACATCTAAATATGTGTTTGTGTACCACGAAAATAGTAACTAGGCCAAGAGTTTTTTCCCCTATAATATGTACTCTTTAACTTATCTATATTGACATTTCAAAAGATTAAATTCAGAACTCATTTAGTAACACCTTATCACCTTATGTCGGCAACAAACCTGGTGAGAATCCCACAAGTAGGGTCGGGATCGGGTCGGGATAGGATGTACGCGACCTTATCTCTCGGGATAGAATGTACGCGATCTTATCTCTACTTTTATTCCTACTTTTATGAAGGTAAAGAGATTGTTTTCGATAGACCCTAAGCACAATAAAATATAAAAAAGAAACAATAGCAACAAGTACCAACAACACGATATTGAATAAACGGAAGCGAAAGAGACAATAAAGTGGATAGGAGAAAGAAATAGAACAACATATAGTAAAAACTAAGCCTAAAAGAATGCAAGAGCAATACGAATATTACTGGTATGGAAAAGAAAAAACGCTCAGTAACTTACTAACCATCTACCTAATCGTCAACCTTTACGTCCTCCTATCAAGAGTCATGTCCTCGGTTAGCTGAAGTTGTATCTGCTATCATATAATTTAGAATATATACAGTTCAAATCCTGGCTCCTTGCTCCGACTAATATGGTAACGAACCTTATTTTTCGTATTATTATTCTTGTCTTTCAAGAACAGTTAACGGTAGTTATCTTTTTGATGATCTGATAATGCAAAAAATATTCTTAAATACTATAAGTATGTTGAATTTAAACTGCACATATTGACAATCTTTTTTTGTCTCCAAATTCAATTTTTTTTTCAGATTTTCAGTGGACAATGTCCCAATAAGAGAATTCAAGAATTTGGAAGATAAAGGTGTGGCATTTCCAAAATCCCAACCAATGAAGTTATACTCAAGTTTATGGGATGCTGATGAATGGGCCACAAGGGGTGGTTTAATCAAGACTGATTGGAGCAATGCCCCTTTCTCTGCCTCTTATAGAAATTTCAATGCTCATACTTGCACTAATAATTCTAATTCTTCTTGCTCAATTTTAGCAGCAAAATTGGATCCTGTGAGTCAAGAAAGATTAAGATGGGTGCAGCAAAAGTTTATGATATATAATTATTGTACTGATACTAAGAGATTTCCTCAGGGTTTTCCTCTAGAGTGTAGTACCACTTAATAATATGTAGTAACTTAATTATGAAAAAAATTAGAAATAAAATATGTAGAATATTTAGTCTATATTAATAGCCTCCTCTCTTTCTGTGGCTTTTATTTTATTTTATTTTCTCCTTAATTTATGTTGAGGCTTAGCTTTTGTAGCTAAGTGGTAAGGGAGGAATGTTGCAATTCTATGTTTGTTGTTATTGAAAGTATTTGTGTAAATAATATATGTAACGTGTTAGTATTGCTATATATGAAAATGTTCTCCGCATTGACTTATTTATTTTCCTTTTGTTTTTGATAAATCGGTTCGAATTTGTACCATTTTTATACTCTTTACTAATATTTGGATTAATATCATATAAGTATTTCGTTTAAAATTTTACTATGAATTAGAAATATAACAATGTTTTAAGAAGTAAAAATATTGAATACATATATTATTATTGGTTTTTATATTCTTTTTTCTAAAAAGTGTACTCCCTTCATTTTCATTAGAAAATGTGGACTTTTTGCCTTTTCCAGGTTTTTGATATTTTAAAATATATATTTTTAATTGAAATTTCATGATTTGTTAAGGTTTTCCCCGCATTAAAAATTAAAATGCTTTGACTTATTTTTACCATGTTATAAGTTTCAACTATTTAGAGTTTGCTTACACATGACTTAAACATGTCGTTTCATGTTAATATAAACTATGTAAGTTCCTTTATGGGTAAAGCTAGCTATTTGTATGATGGTTGTCCTTGAATTTGATCTCTGTACAAGTGAAAGAAAAAACAGATTATAATTCCGTCCAATTTTATATGGGATTCAACTGTGGGAATTCGAACATAAAATCTTCACGTATATTAAAATATAATTTACATATTTAAAAATTATATAAATAATATTATAAGTTACAATAATTAGTAACTCAAAATATTTAAAAGACATACGAAAAATTACGGTTAAAGAAAAATTATTTTCGCTCATTTCATATATTTCACGTCCCAAATTACCCCTTAGACGTAACTAACACCCAGCACACACCACCCGCCAGGCGAATAATATTTTCATATCTTATCTATTAATCTGCAACATTTGATCAATTAAACGAGCATCTAAATAATCTGATAATTAATTACGAATAATTAATATCTCGAAATATATTAGAAACTATAGCCCAAATCACACCCTAGACCATGGAGCATCTAAAAGAATTACAAAGGATATCATATGAACAAATGATAAAGACTCTTTTGATAGCCTCCATGAACAATGCGGCGACTCACTTCAATAACTGAATCCACTCTATCGAACTCATCAGCTACTAGCTCCATCTTCTTAATATCTGCATAGACATGCAGGTAAGGAGTGAGTTGTACGTAAATATAACATAGTAATTAAGATCCTCGACCAGCTACTCTAACTATCTTTGGAACAAGTGTTAGAAAATACAAACACACAACGAGCACATAAATAATATGCACATAAATTCTTTCACCATATAATTACTCAATAAGGTCAAAACAATTATTCAACAACAATATTATATATCTCAGCGCAATTTACACTAAGGACTTGTCATAAATGGCAGTGCAGAAAATTAACTAGATACCGCAAAGAGTCCATGACAGTATACACAATGCCCCAAATCTACCACGGTGGCATACACAACGCCCCAAATATATTACGGCAGCGAAAAAATAATTTCTAATGCCTCAACGCCATAGCACGAGGCTATGCCACATCACACCACACCACATATTACTTATTAAATTATTTTAGCTTTTTACAAAATAATATATATTTGTGGCTGGTCAAAGACCACCGATTCTGCTAAGCGCACGCTCGTTCCAACACATAGACCAGACAGACAAAATATACTTTCAAAACGAGTTTTTGGAAAAGCATATCAAAGCTAAAGTCTCACTTACCCCGAATTCATAATCCAAGCACCTTTTCAATAACTCAAAACTATACTCTCGAGTCTCTGGATCACCTCAAACTACACAAAAACGAGTTTAGATAGAGGCTTAGGGGTAACAGACATAATAAAATGAAATGAAGCTGCTATTGCAAAATATGTATGGAATGTTGCTCAAAAAACTGACAATCTATGGGTGAAATGGATCAACAATGTCTACTTAAAGGAGAAGGATTGGTGGCAGTACAAATGCCCCAATGATGCTTGCTGGTACTAGAAGAAAATATGCAGGAACAAAGAAATATTTGCTCCTGGATATAATCAGAATTTGTGGAGCAGTGCCAATGGACAGTACACAATTAAGGAGGGATATACATAAGGCTGTATTGTGGTCCGGTCCTGGGCCTAAATGGGCTAAACGGGTCGGGCCAAACGGTCCCGGACTTTGGCGGGCTGGGCTCTGGCGGTCCCGGACCAAACGATCCCGGGCTTAACAGTCTTGGAGGGTGGAACTGGCCCACTGTGGTCCTAAGCCCACATGGTCCCGAGCTAAATGGGCCGGGCCTAAACGAGCCTAAGTGTTCAAGGCTATTTTTTTTATCTAAGGCAATTTCTTGTAAATTATATATAAGATTTTTTGATTTTTTTTTATCTAATGCAGTTTCTTGTAAATATATTATATAATTGTGACTAAAATCTTCTAATTCAAATTTAAACACACAAAAAATTGCAAAGAAATATTCAAGGGAATGCCTTATAATTTTTATTATTACAACATTAACAAAAAATGGCAATATCTTTCTTAGTCTTCCTCCCCCCAATGGAACGAGCACAACAAGGTGCTAATACCACCATTAAAAGAAAAAAAAAACTAATGAAGATGTGCCAAAATACAAGTTACAAATTAGTCTATGTATTATCTCTAACAAATTTCATAAATCCTTCAAGGTCCGGAGGAATTTCCGTTGGTGGTGGCAGAAAAGAAGCTTGTTCATCACCGCTTACGGGTGAAGCAACATCCTCCGCAAGTTCCGCTAGCATTTCTTCATAAGCTTCGTCTATCTTCGGTTGTGATTCAACAAGTCCAAAATTTCTTCTTTCCGAACGGATCCAATCTCTAAAGAGTATTGATTTTTCCAAGTAACAACTAAACTTTCATATAAGTAATTCCATCTAGTCGGACAAGGTTTAGGAATCATTCTTTCTCTAAGGTCAAATTCATCACATTTTTTAAAATATTCTCCAAGTCTACTTCTACGGTTTGAATAAAAAAGCCAATTAAGAGCGATTTTAACCTTTTTTAATTTCAACATTTAATATTTTCATACCATCACCGACGATTAAATGGTAAATTTGACAAATACATCTAACATGGAAAATATTACTAAATGCAAGATTTAGTGTAGTTGTAAGCAAGCCTATAGCATTAGTGTTACTAGAAGCATTTTCCATTAAAACTGACATTATTTTATCTTTAATGCAAAAATATCTACAAATATCTGCAACTGTGTAAGCAATAAATTTACCTGTGTGACGTGAATTAATTATTCTATAAGCAATAATGCATTTTTGCATTTTCCATTCCTCATCAATTCAATAAGTGGTAACAGTAAGATAATCACAGTCATTATCACTTCTACCAATATCAATAGTAATAACAACGCGATAATTTATATGAGTAAATAAATAGCGCAAATATTATTCATATTCATGTTTATATTTATAAATATCGTTCTTTACGGTTACGCGAGACCATCCTTTATAAGTAGGATTAAAAACTCTTCTAATATAATGTACAAAGTGAGGGTTAGAAGGAAAATTATAGGGTAAGCACATAACAGTAACTATTTTGCCAATTCTTCACGATCTTTATTTGGATCGTAATATAACATGCCACCGGTAACAGTATTAATTCCCCGTTGAATTAGATTTGACCCGGTACTAGGGTTAACCTCAGTACCTACACTTGTCCCCTCTTGCGCAGCTTTCATTTGAAGATATCTAGCTTTATCTCTAGGGTGTGTCTTTATGTGTCTAGTCAAAGTACCTGTACCGCTATGGTCTCCAATATATTTATGAGCCATCAAAGACCCACAAGTTTTACACTTAGCCTTATTTTGATCTCTTAGTTGAGTAAAAAAAGTGCCAAACAAAATATGTTTCGGGCCATCTAGAAGGTTGTCTATTCAAAGTAGGGGGTAATATAGGAGGGTCAGGCGGGGCATCATTTGAATTATTATCAGTTGGGGTAACAATAGGACTAGTAGGTGTATCATCTAAATCCGGTTGCATTTCATCTAAACCATCATTTTCATCGATAGTTGGATTACCATAAAGAGCATTCATATATTCATTATTTAATTGTTGACCTGGTGCAATATCATGGCAAAATTGACTATCGGTAAATTGAAAACAGAGGTTATCACTATCAAGAATAATAAGTGGAGGAGGACGGGTAACAGGTCTGCGTCGGGGAACCGAGAGAGGAGTAGTAGCTTGACCACTAGATTCACCAATTTTAGATTTTCCCTTACCCTTACCACCAAATATTTTTTTCAAAGAAAAGTCCATATTAATTATAATTATACAAACTAAAACAAACAAAACTATAATATTAAAACTTAAGAGTTGGAACGAGTTTACCGAATTGACGAACAACTTCTTGAAAATTGTATATCGTTGAAGAATTGAATACTTCAATTCACCAACTTCACAATTTTTCACAAATTGCAATAATAAAGTAAGGAATTATAGAAGAAAATTAGAGAGAGATTGATGATTTTGTGAGTAAAAATGAAAGAATGAGGGGGTATTTATAGTTGAGAATAGGAAAAAAAGTGTAATTATAAAAAGTTTGGGGTTAAAACAAAGTTTGGGGGCCAAATGGATATTTTTTATAAAGCCAAACGGCTAAATTACAGGCCAACAGCTAGTTTTTAAACTTCCAATCGTTGGCCAATTTTTTTAAAAAAAATAGTCGTTGGGGCTGTTAGGCCCTGTTGAACCGGCCCAGGCCCGCCAGCCGATCCCGGGCTAGTCTCAACATGGAGGACCAGCCTACAGTGGGCTCCTAGGACCGCATGGGACCGGATCGTTTGGACCAACTCGTTTAGCCCATGGTCTCGGGGTCCCGGGCCGGTCCCGGGCTTGGCCCGGACCACAATACAGCCTTAGATATACATGGAGAATTGGAGAAAAGGAAAAGTGGGTATAGAGAAGATGAGTATGGAACAATATGAACCTACCCAAGCATAGTTTTATTTGCTGACTCACTATGCATCAAAGACTGCTGACAAAAACCAGATCATATCGTATGTGCATTAGTCAAGAAGATAGGTGCCCAATATGTGGAACAGAAGAGGAGACTATCCAACATTTATTCTTTGAATGTGTATTCTCACAGTAGTGCTTAAGGAAGGTGTTAAACTGAATGAGCATAGGTATACAAAAGACAGAGATAACAGGGATATGAAAAAGAGTGATCAGACTAGTCAAAGGAAAGAAATGCAGGGAAGTTGCTACTGCTATATTGGCTGCCCTGATGTACTGAATATGGAATGCTAGGAACACTGCTGTATGGAACTTCAAACTATCCACCACTACCTACATACTAAGTCAGATTAAACAAGAATGCAGACTGAGGAAGCTCGCCTATTTGAAGAGCAAGACAAGTGTTCAAGAAAGAGAATGGATTGAGAAGATAATGCAGAAATATAAGATAAGATAGATAGAAAAAATAATGTTTTGATGACAAGGAGTACATAGCTAATGTATATGTATATAGAAAGAAATAGGAGAAAAGAGGAAAGTACTGAGGAAAAAAGCCTGTAATAGTTTCGAGGTGATGAAATAAAAAAAATTTCTTCACCAAAAAGAATGATCAAAAACCCTTAAGTGAATATCCATTTAATTTTTAGAGCAAGTCCAACTTGTAGTCAAAGGTTGACACAAAAAGTTAACATGTCGGAATTCTCATGCCATGACCACCAACGGATTCTTTTCCACGAGAGGATTCCAGAACACTACTTAAAATCAAATTTTGATAACGTTTGTCCTTTCATATTCATGAATTAGGTTGAAGAACTCCAGGGCTAGGCTTTCGCAAATTCTGAAAATTTCTCCATATTTCTATCATAAAATTCTTCCCATAATTACGTAATAAACTCAAATAAAAGTTTAGGATCATTATCTTGAAGATTTGAGCAGAAAATCCCTATTTTTCTCTTCTCTTTTTCTCCCTTTCTTTTCTTTTCTCCTACTACATTTTCTTTTTCTGCTTTTGCGTTTTGCTTCTGTTCCAACTTTCAACCAGCGTTTATGTTTTTTTCGCTTCTTTTTAAGTGTTTTTTTTTTGTCTTCTTCTTTTATATTAATTAATTTCTTTTTTTTGGTCAAATTACCAAATAACCCCTAAATTAAATTAGGGTTATTACAATATAATAATTTTGTCGCATAAAATAAGACAGAGTACCTATCACAATAACACAGACGAAGTCCGAATGAAACTTCATTTATTACAAAACTCAAAAAACTTACAAAGACAAGAAATATTGTATTTGCACTGCGATTGTCCTATTCATGTAGCATTACATCTTATTACATGATTCTATTTGTAATTTATTATCTCTGAAAATGAATTCCGTCAATTACAAGAGGAATTTGATAATTACCAAGACTAATATACAAAACAATTTTAACTAGTTGTGGAGTTGAAATTACATTCTAGAGGAAAACCTTGAGGAAACCTTTTAATATCAGTACAATAATTATAAACCATATAATTTTTCTGCACCCATTGTAACTTAGCTTGGCTTGTTGAATCAAGTTCTTGAAAAAACCATGGATTTGTGCTACTATTACATGATGATTTTCCAAATTCCCAAACACAAGCATTGGCTTTGAAATTTCTAAAAGAGGCTATAAATGGAGCATTGGACCAATCTGTTTTAATTAGGCCACCCCTAGTAGCCCAATCATCTGCATTCCATAGACTTGCATATACTCTCATTGGTTGCTTGTTTGGGTATGGTATTCCTCTTGACTTCATGTTCTTGAACACTCTTATAGGTGTGCCATCCACATAAAATCTACAAAATTGGTAAATCAAACATAAAAATATATGTATAAGTTTTTGTCAATTTGTAGAAGCAGAAATAAAATAATGTCATGTTCAACTATTAACCAAGACAATTTGTTTTGGGACTGAGGCATAGGAGCAATAGTTATGGTGGTTGTTGTTGTTGTTGTTGCTGTTACATATTCAAATATTAAGAATTAACAATAATTTATTAGATTTAGTGGGCGCTTGAACATAAGAATTGTGAAATTAAAAAAAAAAAAGAAAAAATATAAGTGAAAATGTATTTGAAAATCACAGATGTGTTTGGACATGAATACAATTTGAGTTGTTTCTGAATTTTTGTGAGTGATTTGAAGTGAAAATTTTGAAAAATAACTTTTTTGGAGTTTTTCAAATTTTTGAAAAATTTCGAAATTCAACTGCAAGTGTAATTTAAAATTTTCATGACCAAATACTGATTCTGAAAAAAATAAAAAATAAATCGGAAAAAATAAACTTTTTTATGGCCAAATGGGCCCTTAATTAAATTCTCGTGCGTCCTGATTCTAACTAGTTATATCAATATTATGAACATTATTCAGCTTATAGTTTGCTTAATATTCCAGTATATTGGTTATTTTTATAAGAAATGTCAAATAGAGCAAGTCAAAATAAAGATAAAGTTAAATTTATAGAACTTTAGGAGCAAAAACCAAGAGAGATATATAAGTTTGGATATATGACACCATTACTATTTGAGGAGTTAAGCTAATTTTTTTTAACTTTAATTTCTCTTTTTTTTTTTAAAAAAAAAATATACATTGATTACTAACTATCTTAGCAAATCTTACGTAATTTTTTCCATAGTTTTCAAATTGTGTAAATTTTATTTCAAAATAAAATAAAATTGAAGGAGCAGTAATGGTTCTAATGAATAATGATATATGGTTTGTATAGTAAAAGGATGCTGACCAAGAGGTTGTGAGTTCGAGTCTATCCAAGAGCAAGGTGGGAAGTTTTTGGAGGGAAGGATGCCGGAAACAGACTCTCTACCCCAGGGTAGGGGTAAGGTCTGCGTACACACTACCCTCCTCAGACCCCACTAAGTGAGATTATACTGGGTTGTTGTTGTTGGTTTGTATAGTAAAAGGATACCTACATAATTGTTTGTGGGTTCCAAAGAATGGAGTAGGTATGAAAACCAGCAGTTGGATCAAACCATAAGTAGAATTGCTGTTCTTTGTCACCTTTGCCTTGAGTGTAAACATTTGTATGAATAATATAAGGATCACCACTAAGATTGCCCAAGAATTCAAAATCTATCTCATCATGTGTTGCCCCTTGTGATGATAACTACATAGAAAATTAAAATAAAACAAGATCTTAGTAATCATATGATATAAAAATAAGAAAAAAAATTACCATATGATCATAATTATTGATGTAGATTAAATGACAACATCACCAATAACTATGAGATAAGGCATTCCGGTACACAAAACCTATTCATGCAGGGCCTATGGAAGGATCACACCCCAAGGGATATAATATGCATAGTCTATCATAATACAAGCATTAGTGTCTGCTTCCACGGCTCGAATCCGAGACCTATAGGTCATAACGGAGACAACTTTACCGTTGCACAGCCTGATACATAAAGACTCCCGCATTCATGCAGGGTCCGGGGAAGGGTTGCACCCCAAGAAGTAATGATGTAGACAATCTACCATAATACAAGCATTAGTGACTGCTTCCATGACTCGAACCCGAGACTTATAGGTCACAACGGAGACAACTTTACCGTTGCACAGCCTTGTACATAAAGACTCCCGCATTCAAGCAGGATCCGAGGAAGGGTCACACCCCAAGGGGTATGATGTAGACAGTCTACCCTAATGCAAACATTAGTGACTACTTTCACGACTCGAAAAATAATTTTACCGTTACTCCAACACGTCCCTCCCCTTCGAATAACTATGATATAACACTTACGTAATATGTAGTAACAGTGCCAGCTGAATTTCCACGTACGAGTTTCAACTGCATATCAATCCTTCCAAATAAATACTCTCTCTTGGATTGAATACCGGAACCAGAGGCTTTGTCAAGGGAGAGAGTAAGAAGTTTTCCATTGTTGAGAACCTTTGCCCTACCATCTCCCCATGTAACATCAAAATCTTGATTAAAGTTATTATAAGCCAAACTATGATATTGCAAAGAGCATAAGGCAAGAAAAACCAAATATTGAGCTAACAAAGAAGCCATTGGGTAATTGATTTGGTTTTTACAAGTCAAAGATGGATTGTAATTTGTAACCAAATGCTATATATAGAGGTGTTGGGTTAAGGAATGAAAGTTGGTGGGGTTAAAAGAAGGTTTCTAGAAATTGGAGGGCCATTTTGGTAATGGAGTAGGACAGCTGGCAAATAGTTTATTCCCACTATAACAGTGGGTGGGCCCCATTTCTATGACGTGGCTTAATTTGATAGTTTAGCCAGCCAATAAAATAGTTTGGTCATCATTAGACATCATCATAGAAACAAACTACAAATTCTTGTACTAGTGGACACGGTTTTAGACTTTTCTTGTGTCATATTGAGTGATAAATTTTAATTTTAAAAAGTCTAATTAACTATTTTTATATGAGATTTTTACCCTGTATAACCGCTCAATCAAAATAATTGTCAACAAATACATAATATGTATATACAATTATATTAGTGTATAACTTATATATATAATAAATACAAATACTTTTGACCGAACAATCAAAAGTGTAACTTTCCCTTTTAATTTTGTTTTGAGGTGCTTAAGTAGTTCATATATTTTGAAATTGAACTCAGGAAACCATATTCTTAAAACTTTTTTTATTACATAGGGATTCATACAATCAAAAGTTTATGTTTTGTCTAATTTTACATTAGGAAAGGAGATGGACATATTTCACCACTATTGCAATTCTCCTTTGACATCTACAAATGCTAGACTTTAATGTTTAACGTATGGGTAAACAACGTATATGTGTTAAGAAATTAATTAAATATGTACAAACATTAAATTCAGAACACATAAAATTATTGTCGATCTAAATTCAGAATCCATAAAGTTAAAATTTTGACTCCGTCCGTAGAAAAAGGAAAACTCTAGCAATTTCTATAGGTTCATATTGAAGTTGTATTCACCAATAAAATATTTCTTTTGCGTGTATTCTAGTACATTCCTCATTGGCTTTTCAACGTGTTACTTTCTAGTTGAAGAATCATAGGTAAGTGTTGTTTAGTATATTACTAGAAAAGACCTTTTCATTTGGTCAATCAACACAGCTGGAAACCAACAACTTGGTGAACTAATGTTACTAGTTTTGAATAGTACTAGCTTTATTTACATGGGGAAGGTTCATATAAAGAAGTGACAAAGATCAAATTTGGTCACATATAATATTCGTTAAGCTTTTGGTCTAATATTAATTTCATTATTAGCAAATAGTCTCGTTCTTTCGTTAATCCCTAACGGAGCCCAACATGGAGGTATTCTTAAATCATAGTCAGAAGTGAATGTGCAAATTTGGTGAAAATAGGATGGGTTAGCCAGCTTTGGAACTGGTAAATAAAAAATAACTAGTGTTTGTAAAGTTATTAAAAAATAGCTATTATTTTGCTGTAACATTAAAAGTTTCAGCATAATATACTGGAGATCGGTGCACCTGTTTATGAACTTCCAGCATATTATGTTGGAACTCCAACACACGAAAAGTTCCAGCATAATATACTGGAGATCGGTGCACCTGTTTATGAACTTCCAGCATATTATGTTGGAACTCCAACACACGAAAAGTTCCAGCATAATATACTGGAGATTAGAGCACATGTGTATGAACTTCCTGTAAGATTATTAAATCACAGCCATAGCAGAGATTAAGACACAATTGTAGAATCAATCTAAAGTCAGAGTTTAAGGAAGAGTGCCGTTAAACTCCATGGATACAACAGCGACAACAAACGGCGATTAAGCCTGAGACCAACTTTCACGATCCACTAGCTACTCGCTCTCACAGCCCGGAGAACTTGACTGATGGGACGTCTACCGTTACCACGTATTCAAGAGGCAGAATACGCTAGGGTTTTCTAATAGCTAGGGAAATGGGGGTTGACCTCTATTTATAAAGAGTGCCTACCCATCACAAGCCAATAGTTATTGGGCCTCACTTATCCAACACACGATATTTAATATTAGGCCTTTTATTTATCCACCACTTGGGCCACGACACTATCCTTTCAGACTATAACCAATTAACGTAAGTCCAAATTCCAACATTCTCCCACTTGGACGCCAACATTAATTGAGGACAAGAAAACAATTTTAAATATTTGAGTTTTTAAGAAAATCATTTTGAAAAAGGATTTTAGACTCTACGGTGGCCACACTACTCACATAGCCAATGATAGAATGACCTATATAACAATCCATTCAATCTTAATAGGAAAGATTAACAATGAATCGTAGCAGGCATCACACCATTTTAAGGTATGAATTCTATCTACGACCATATATGCTAGAATTTCCATCAACATGGATCAAACATATGTGCTAAGCATTTTATCTTTCTAATCAAGGTGAATATATTCACACCTCTTAAAAGAAATAATCCTCCAAGTGATATTATAACCATATCACCTCAGGAGCCTCCAAGTGACACAAAATCATATCACCTCAGGAGGATTCCCTTGTGTCTTACCCGGGATAATAAAGGCAACAAGCCGCAAGACTCAAAGATATCATGAGTTTATGCAATGTCCAATTGGAAATAAAAATAAATAAATTATCATGTTAGTCATAAGCATAAGAGATATCAAATAATACAAGCTTGCATAAAAATAGGATTTATTAAAGGCAATATCTCAGTCAGCAATTACAAAGTAACTCCACTGACTAAAGCACATCAAAAGACTCTAAAATACCCATATTTTTAGCATGTTCATTAAACACTACAGGTCTAAGACGTTTAGTCAAAGGATCAGCCAACATAGATTTTGTGCTAATATGCTCAATACATAAATCACCTTCTTTTACCATGTCTCTAACCTTAAGAAACTTAAGGCTAACATGCTTAGAGCCTCTTGTTCTCTTGTTATTCTTGGAGAAGAACACAGCTGCACTGTTGTCACAGAAAATAGTCACCGGCTTAGATATAAAATCCATAATTTGCAATTTAGTAAGAAAATTCTTTATCGAGACAACATGTGAAGCAGTCTCAAAACAAGCAATAAACTCAACTTCCATTGTAGATGTAATAGTGATGCTTTGTTTTCACTTTTCCAAGAAATAGCACCTCCATCCAACATAAAAGTATATTCAGAAGTTGATTTCATAGTGTCTTGACAACCAGCAAAATCAGAATCTGAATATACTAGAAGATCCAGGTAATCAACCCTTTTGTACACAAGCATGAAGTCTTTGGTGCATTGTAGATATCTCATCACTTTCTTTGCAGCCACCCAATGTGCCCACCCAGGATTAGAAGAAAATCTTCCCAACATGTTAACAACAAATGCAATATCAGGCCTTGTACAAACCTGTATGTACATCAAACAACCAACAACACTTGCATATGGAACATCTTTCATTGTTCTCATTTCAACTTCATTTTTCGAACATTGATCTTTACTAAGTTTATCCCCTTTTACAACAGGTGCAACACCAGGTCTACAGTCTTTCATATTGAAAGTTTTAAGAACACTCTCAATATAGGAACGTTGTGATAAACCCAATAAACCACGTGACCTATCTCTTTTAATTTCTATCCCAAGAACAAAAGAGGCTTCACCAAGATCTTTCATATCAAAAGACCTAGACAAAAATTGTTTGGTCTCATTCAACAAGCCCAAATCATATGTGGCAAGCAGAATGTCATCAACATAGAGAACCATGATAATGAAATTACCATTAGCTATTTTAAGATATACACATTCATCAAGCTTATTCTCCACAATTCAAAATTTTGTAATAATTTCATCAAATTTCAAGTAGCACTGCCTGGAGGCTTGTTTAATCCCATATATGGATTTGTTAAGCTTGCACACTAGATATTTTTTACCAGTCTCTTTAAACCCTTCAGGTTGAACCATGTAAACTTTTTCAAGTAGACTCATATTCCGGAAAGCAGTTTTAACATCCATCTGGTGCAATTCTAAATCAAAATGAGCCACAAGAGCCATCACAATTCTAAATGCATCCTTGGATGAAATAGGAAAAAATGTTTCTTTATAATCAATACCTTCTTTCTGAGTGTAACCCTTAGCAACCAACCTTGCTTTATAACGGTCTATGTTTCCCTTAGAGTCTCTTTTAGTTTTAAACACCCATTTGTAACCAATAGGTCTAAAACCTTCAGGCAGTTCAACTAATTCCCACACTCCATTGTGTTCCATGGAGCGCATTTCATCTTTCATTGCCTCACGCCATTTATCAACAAATGGAGAGGAAATAGCTTGAGCATATGATAAAGGATCAGTCAGCTCTCCAGTATCACTAAGATTTTCAGTCACATACACGATAAAATCATCAGAGATGGCAGACCTTCTTTCTCTTTGTGACCTGCGGAATGGTTCATTGTGTACATTTTGTTCAGGAACTATGGGATCTACGTCGTTATTCCCTTAATTCTCCCTATCATGAATAGGTTGGTTTACCACCTTTTCATGTATAACAGGTACAAGGACAATGACTTCCTTCTCTTTCAATATAATTTCCTTACCACATGAACAATCACAATCACAAACATCATGCTCAAGAAATTTTGCATTAATAGACTTAACGATTCCAGTGCCACGCCCAGGACAGAAAAACATAAAACCTTTAGAGTGATCAGAATAGCCTATAAAGAAAGAACTGGTAGTTCTAGGATCAGTTTTCTTTTCTATGGGTGAATAAATACGAACTGCAGCTGGACATCCCCAAATGTGAAAATGGTTCAAGCCAGGTTTTCGGGTTGTCCATAGTTCAAAGGGAGTTTTCAAGAAGTTTTTGTAAGAACTCTATTCAGGATATAGCTAGCTGTTTTTAAGGCTTCACCCCAAAGAGACTCAGGTAGGCTAGTCCTTGACATCATACTTCTCACCATTTCCATGAGAGTACGATTCCGTCTTTCAGCCACACCATTGTAAGCACGTGATTTTTGCCCTATATGAGAATTACTCCGAAAAAATTCAAAAATAAAATGATTNTCCTCGCGGGGGCGGAAAAAGCAGGTGTGACAACCATTCTTCTCAAGAGTACCTGACATGGTATATTGTGCTACTATAT